GAGAGCGCGTTACAAGCGACCGTGACATAAGAAGTGGAACATTTTGGTTTGCGAACGTTTTTTAGTATGCGTAACATTTTATGAAGGCTTGCATGTGGTTCTAGCGTATCCCAATTTGGGGTCACAAATAGAAATATCAGCTCAGTAGTCTGTCTAACCTTGACTCCATGTTTCCATTATTGAGTTATAGGCGAGATTGCGTCACACATTTGAATTTGCTGGTTTACACATTACGTCATCAAAAACTCAAAGGAAAGAATTATCGATCCTCCTGAGTTCTTACTTTTATGAATTATTAGAGCCGCTAAAAACTAATATTCAGAAAAATTATCTCTGCGAAAAAGTTCTTCGTTTTGTGATACAGTACGCTGAAATTTCTAAGCTTTTGCGTGACGCGGTATTTACATGGTAGCCTGCGAGCAAGCTCTCCGGGCGCTCGGGGGGCGAGGCGGGAAAAGAAAGGAGAGCTTGCAACTACCTCTCTGGAATTTGAATTCTACCTCCAATTCACCTGTGGCTCCCCGTCGACTGAGCTGTCAGATTTTCGCCAATCAGCGCGAAGCGGAAACTAGCGCGATTGTAAACAAACATTGAAAAACACGTGCCAAGGGTAATGGCGTCATTACTAATGTCATCTCCGCCAATCAGCATTTTGCATCGACTTATTCATTTTCCAGAGACGTAGCTGTAAGCTCTCCCTCCTTTTCCCGCCCAGCCGCCAGAGCGCCCCAGAGGGCTTGCTCGTAGGCTATTTACATGGCGGACGAGAGAGCTGCCATGAAGGCTGAAAAATTGACTCTGTTAGGGGGATTTTGCTATCTGAATGGTCATTTTATTAATGTCAATGTTAATGAGTTCCTCAAGAGATGAATTCACCCTTAAGTAGCACAACTCCGTGACACATGTTTCTGTTGGTTTCCGGCCGCCATGTTATAATTAGTGACCATCCGGATGGGTACCAACATTGCGTCTTCATACAAATGTATGGTAAAAATATCTATAAATGTAGGTAAAAAAATTCTCCGAATTTCTCGTGCATGAAAAATTGCACCGACCTGAATCCTGGTGAGGGCCTTTGTATATTTACTTTCTTTCATTTCCCAGATTCTAGACTTTATCTATTACACGCTTTTGATTTTTATTTTTAATAGCGTGACAGTGACAACCTGCAATAACGTTACATTTTTTCTACATGTAAATGTCATCGCCATTTTCTTTAATCATTTAGCAAAGTTTGGCTGATGAGTATGAAGTTAAGGAGGATCAACATTCTATACACCAAGACCAAGAAGACATTGCAGTGTCTCCGCAACAAAGCAACAAAGATGCCGTTCTTGTAAATTCACCTTGTTTAGCCCCAAATCCCCCCCCCCCACCCCCCAGGCGATAAATAATGACCAGTCCCTAATTTAAATATTACTTTCATGCACTTTTCAAAAACCGGGGAGAATTTTCCACCCAGTGGCACGGTCCCGTTTTTGCTGAGATTTGAGGCTCAACAAGCATGACTGCTTTGAGATGTTTCATAGTGTTGTTGTCAATCTTTGTATTACGTCATTTGGTGATTGCAGCCATCCGAAACACCAAGAAACAACCGCTTTTAGTCATGTTCTTCCTGAAAAACCCTTTCATCGAAAGGAAAGGAGGATTAATCTGTCTTCCCTTCACACACAGGAAGGACGGGAAAGCAAAGTTTCAACGAAGGCAAAGGAAAAGAAGACACAAGTGACGATGGAAATGGCTTTATTGCGCCAGGATGACGTTGCACAGGACATGGCTTCAGCCACTCACGATCTGTCTGATGTAAGAAGGAAGTGACTAAGGCCACAAGACACACGAATCCGGATACGGCGAAAACGAATACTTCATTTTTGCGTCAACATAAATTCGGAGTGGTGTATCCGGTTTCACGCATTCACAGGAATACGCTACTGCAGTTTGCAATTGCAACTGCACTCGGGCCAGCGGTGTGATTTCACTGACCGTATATCCTTCCCACTTCCAGTGCTTTAGGGTAACATTTCATACACTTCTCAAGTAGGAATGTCAAAGAGAAATAACTAGGTAAAGGCCGATTCATTCGTCTGGAGCGAAAGTAAACAGAGGGTTGTTGGCCTCTACTTTAAATTTTTCAAGTTCCCATTTAAGCCTGGACCCGAGTATTTAAAAATATCCGGTTTCGGTCGTCTTTACGAACTCGCCAAACCCGACGAATTAATAAAAAAAATTCCACTCAGAAGAGGGGTTTCAATGCGGTCTCGGTGAGCGGATTTACCGTTTTGGTGTAGATGGAAGGCCGATTCGTATTAAAAAGCGTGCGGTTTCAAAAATATCCGGATTCATGTGGACGGGGCCTGAACCTTATACGCTTCCTTTTCTCACGTAACGAAGGGTGTAATGTAATACCGTTCTTCTTTACGTGCGTTGGGTAACGTTAAACGTGACCTTTAGGTGGAAAGAGAGCGCGTTACAAGCGACCGTGACATAAGAAGTGGAACATTTTGGTTTGCGAACGTTTTTTAGTATGCGTAACATTTTATGAAGGCTTGCATGTGGTTCTAGCGTATCCCAATTTGGGGTCACAAATAGAAATATCAGCTCAGTAGTCTGTCTAACCTTGACTCCATGTTTCCATTATTGAGTTATAGGCGAGATTGCGTCACACATTTGAATTTGCTGGTTTACACATTACGTCATCAAAAACTCAAAGGAAAGAATTATCGATCCTCCTGAGTTCTTACTTTTATGAATTATTAGAGCCGCTAAAAACTAATATTCAGAAAAATTATCTCTGCGAAAAAGTTCTTCGTTTTGTGATACAGTACGCTGAAATTTCTAAGCTTTTGCGTGACGCGGTATTTACATGGTAGCCTGCGAGCAAGCTCTCCGGGCGCTCGGGGGGCGAGGCGGGAAAAGAAAGGAGAGCTTGCAACTACCTCTCTGGAATTTGAATTCTACCTCCAATTCACCTGTGGCTCCCCGTCGACTGAGCTGTCAGATTTTCGCCAATCAGCGCGAAGCGGAAACTAGCGCGATTGTAAACAAACATTGAAAAACACGTGCCAAGGGTAATGGCGTCATTACTAATGTCATCTCCGCCAATCAGCATTTTGCATCGACTTATTCATTTTCCAGAGACGTAGCTGTAAGCTCTCCCTCCTTTTCCCGCCCAGCCGCCAGAGCGCCCCAGAGGGCTTGCTCGTAGGCTATTTACATGGCGGACGAGAGAGCTGCCATGAAGGCTGAAAAATTGACTCTGTTAGGGGGATTTTGCTATCTGAATGGTCATTTTATTAATGTCAATGTTAATGAGTTCCTCAAGAGATGAATTCACCCTTAAGTAGCACAACTCCGTGACACATGTTTCTGTTGGTTTCCGGCCGCCATGTTATAATTAGTGACCATCCGGATGGGTACCAACATTGCGTCTTCATACAAATGTATGGTAAAAATATCTATAAATGTAGGTAAAAAAATTCTCCGAATTTCTCGTGCATGAAAAATTGCACCGACCTGAATCCTGGTGAGGGCCTTTGTATATTTACTTTCTTTCATTTCCCAGATTCTAGACTTTATCTATTACACGCTTTTGATTTTTATTTTTAATAGCGTGACAGTGACAACCTGCAATAACGTTACATTTTTTCTACATGTAAATGTCATCGCCATTTTCTTTAATCATTTAGCAAAGTTTGGCTGATGAGTATGAAGTTAAGGAGGATCAACATTCTATACACCAAGACCAAGAAGACATTGCAGTGTCTCCGCAACAAAGCAACAAAGATGCCGTTCTTGAAGTGATTCCATCGACTTCCACCGAAGTAGATGTAAGACGAGAATAAAAACACCATAATAATTACTTATTCACTAATAAAGAAGAATTTACCTCTAGGGCGCCTTATTTTTCTTACGTTTCACGTTAGAAGGACACAACATGATCTTGGTTTTCCTATGCCACTAATGTGTTTCGTCGATGGTGTACCTTTTCTGCGCTGTCTTGGATTTACGTTTCAGCGTCTTGTTTTCCTTCTCTTGAGCTGTTTTCAGTTGCGGGCTTGTGACTTCCAGAACGATGGCTGATACCCGGGGGGGTACTTGGGTATTTTTTGGGTGGGTATGTGCCGCCTGGGACTCCAAATTGGCACCCCGTTCTAAAAAAAATTCCCCTAAAATTGATACCCCGTTCTGGAAATGAGCCAATTTTTTATACCCCGTTCTAGAATTCGCCCTAAAACTTATACCCCGTTCTAGAAATGGGCCAATTTTTTATACTCCGTTCTAGCAGGAGCTCCTGGTTCAAGAAAGTTTGTAAATTGAAATAGCCCTGTTTTTTAAAAAGATGTTTCTTTATTTGTTCGACTTATACATCAAATAAATGCTTCTTCATAATCATCTGGAGTACTGCAGCTTTCGTGCGTTCGAAATATTATACCCCGTTCTAGAAAACGCCTCTGAAATGGATACCCCGTTCCAAATCAGGAGCTTCAAAATCACGACCCCGTTGGGCGGCTCATATCCGTATAGGTAATGTATGGGAGTGCCCCCCCGGGGAATCGTCTAGTAAAATGGCGTGTTTGTTGTTTGTAATCAGTACCACGTGTATCAGCAGGTGGCCAAGGTTTTCTGGGTAAACATCAAACTGTGGGCATGGATTTTCATCCTAGACTTGAAAACAGTACCCTGGACCCAAAGTAAATTTTATCTAGCTCTTGACTGGTCACTTTGAAGTTACTTTTAACAGATAATACTTATATATTCTGTGGCTCTTGTCTGGCTCAAGCAAATTATGTTATTTTTATCTTTTTATACGTTAGTTACTTATTTACTAATAAGGAAAGTAATTACTTGAAAGCTGTGCTGTTTCAAGCTAAACCAAAAATTTGATAGTTTTTTTTATCATTTTAACTAGGATGAGGAATTCAAAGTGACTGACAAAGAACTTCTAACCAGGCCAACGGCATCACTAGGAAAAACTCAAGCTTCTGCAATGCCACTTTCAATTGAAAACCTAGAGGAGTCAGACAAGGATCCTTGTGACGTAGGAGAGAACTTTTCTACCAAACAACTGTTTTCATTTGCCTGGCAAATAGCTAAAGGAATGGTAATTATCTTGTTTTCTGAATAATGTTGCTGGGATTCTGACACTGAGTATAACTTGGAAAGAAGAATTCAAAAGTCAATATTTTATCAACATGAAATAGATGGGATAAATATATGGGCTGTTTTTCTGATCTAGATTTGAGTTTATAATGGCTTATATGGAAAAAAATTTCTTTTCGGTCGACCCAGTTTTAGCTAAATTCGTTTCGTTATGCATTTGAACGTAAATATTTGGATCAGATCAGTGCCGGTATTTACTTTTCATTTGCATTTTTTCATCTATACCTAACTACTTAATGTTCGGCGTACCCCCGTTATTATGTTTTGAGATCATTTTAATAGTTTTTTCGTTGCTTATTTGTTATTAGAATCATCTCGCCGAAAACAATCTTGTTCACAGAGACCTTGCTGCCCGTAATGTTCTTGTTGGCCATGACAATCAGATCAAAGTGTCAGACTTTGGGTTGATGAGACAAATCTATGAAGATGTGAACAGCTCAGCGAAGTCCAGAAAACTTCCTGTAAAGTGGATGGCCCCAGAATCACTTTATCAAGGGGTTTACACGACCAAAAGTGATGTGTGAGTGATGAGTTTTGCCGCTCCCTTGACAAGGGAACTATTGAAACTTTTCTACTGAATCACTTCTCAAAATTGTAGTTGCCGTCAAAAATTACAGAAGCATATAACTCTGAAGTGCCTAAATCCCCTTATTTTTTATAACCATGCTAGGGTTTTTAGCCGTCCAATTAGAAGCACGGAAAATTGTTTGCCCAAATATGGAATCATAGTATTGAAGGTATCTCTGCCTATTATATAGCTGCTAAAAACGGATTCTTCCAGTCCTTAACAGTTTTCCAATTACATCCAAAACTCAAGATGTACACGCATTTTTGGGCTGCTCCGTTGGCAGCAAACAATCTACAAATGCCGTGAATCTGTACATATTTATAACCTCTTTGGTTTTTCTCATAGTTGGTCTTTTGGTGTTGTTCTTTGGGAAATGGCTACCTTGGGTGAGTGGACAGTAATTTTGTAGTTTATAGTTGTTATGTTAAATTTGAGGTGACGACTGACAAATCAAAAAAACATTTTTCATGGTCTGTGACTCTTATAGACCGTAGAAATGATGTCAAAATGTTGAAAAACTCATGCACGACCCGCAGGATAATGGTTTTACACTGCAAAGTTTTGAGTTCTCCAAGGGAATTAAGGGAACCGTGCCTTAACCCATCTTCCCCGTTTTGCCATGGTGGGATGTGGCTTATAACTGTTACGATTGTTATCAAGGTTACTGCTACCAGGAAGGGCGAAAACAATGTTTTATAATGTTTCATTTGCGGCAAGTTTGAATTTTCTTGTTTGATCTGGGCTCTGTTTTAATTATAAGTGCTGTGAGTAGATCTCCTAGATGATAACCGTACGTGACAATACATATTTTAATAATGTCAAATTTAAAAATTTGCGAGCATTTGATGACTGGAAACGAGAAGCCTTATTGTTAATCACCCTGCCTTCTTTCATTACACATTTTACTGCATTGGCAATATATCAGACCTCCATTCAATCAACCGTTTTTGCAAAATGGCCTTATTGAGTTTATATGAGCAGAAGTGACAATCGACTGAGGCATCTTTAATAGAAATCTATATAATGGAAAATTGCATGTATTCAGTTGCTGATATGTAATCATTTGTTTTCTTTCTCGAAATCGTCAGGAGGCGTACCATACCCCACGCTGACCAACTCAGAGTTGTATCGACTGCTCGATACTGGTTATCGCATGGAAAGGCCTGACATGTGCTCCGAAGACGTGTACGTTTCTTGATTAGAGTGGTCTTAGATTTAACAAACAGATTCGATTTTTCTGTGCGTCTGCTCAGTTACATTTCACACCGACCGGTGCAGCATACGAATTCGTCAAATATTTTAACGCCTGCTTTGATCCTATTAAATAATGACCAGACGGACGGCAGGGGAAAACTTTTGATGGGATCCTCACTCTTTGAACAAAAAGGAAACCCTCAGTCCATTAGCTTTATGGTCAATAAAGGCATCATTAGTAGTGATTAGGTTAATCTCTTTCCTGGGGCCGGGGGAAGTACTACCTGTACTGGGAAGGCACCCCCCAAAAGGGGTACCTCTCTCAGTCTTCTGGTGTAGGAATTTTGCTAGTCGAAGTGTATGAAAGGGTAGGGAAATCTGTCATTTCGGTCTGTAAAATGACTTAAGAGTACCAGATAAGATTTTTTGGCTGTGAAAAAGTCGAGAAAATGTTCTAATTTGTTATTTATTCATATTTAAAAGGAAGTGCATTTTTCAGCAATTAAAAGGGATAAAGTTGAAGTTCTTTTCTGTCAAAAATGATACTCAAAATGATAAGGGGTTGGACCTCGGGGCAGAGCTTTACATACTGATGGCTGGATAAAGGAATGGGGAATCACATGATAACCCAAACGTTCCAAGAGCCCATTTTAATGGGCTTTACGTGGAAGCTTCACTCAAAAGGAGTACCTTTTTAGGCCACATGTATATGGAAAGGTAGGAATTTCACGAGCTAAAATGTTTGAAATGGTAGGAAATTTTGTAACTTCGGTAATTTACTTTAAAAGATATTTTAAACATATGTACCTGTATTGTATGCTTCATGTTAAGGGCTTAATGGCTTAAAAAGTGAAGAAGTCGTACTATTTCTCAGGGTAGGCAAGAAAGGAATGTATACGAAAGAGGTACCTATTCTGTCAAAAATGCTGTACAAAAAGGATTGGGCCTCACTGTGGAGCCTCCCTGTAAACTCATGAAGCTAAGAAGCCTAGTATATCCTATTGAAAAATTTCTTTTATTCCAATAGACCTCTTTCGCTTGAATGTGTTGTTTTCCCATGATACAGGTCATGTCTAACGGTCAAATTCCCCTGGGACCTCTTTTGGGAAACCAAAACATACAAGCTATAAAGAGGTCTTTTGACACTGTCTAATAATTGACTGGAGCTCTACTAAACATTGAATGGTTCTTTTTTCTCTCCATTCATAACAGATATGAGCTGATTACTGACTGTTGGAGCGAAGACCCTTACATTCGTCCCAGTTTCTACCGTTTGATCGAAAAACTGGAGGCGATAATGGAAAGGGATGCACCATATTTGAATGTAAACAAACACAATGAATATCATCCGTATTACAACGTGCCACCTGAAGCTAGTTCTGATTAATATGGAGAAGAAGGAGCATCCCCAATAATCGGACAGTTTAAGACGGAACGAGTATAAACAGTAAATGCATACTTATTGACTTAGATACTAAGCTAAGAAAATACTGAAAGAATTATAACAAACATATAAAGAGCTTTAAGTGTAAAAAAAAAAGTGTAACAGTAAGGCCCTCCAGATCTAATCAGGAGCCCATCATCTAGGAATGTAAACCTCTCTTATAGCGTGTTAAGATTTTTACTAGGCTAGTATAGACTAATCTTTCACGCAGAAAAAAAGAGCTGGACTGAGTAGGATTTCCAGCAATCAGCGTATGCGATCAAAGAAGTATAGAGCTATTAACGTAAAGCTATTAATAGTGATTAAGGTTTTAACTGAATGACGAGCCTTAAAAGTTAGCCACTAACTGAGAAGATAGCTGAACATCAACCGTTATGTTGGATTTCTCCGAAGTTGTTTTTAGTGCAAAGCGAATTTTTCGTAAACGATTGTATTTATTACCTTCAGTAGTGTAAATTATAAACGGAGAGGTTTAAATAAGAATCTAGGGATTACATATTTAACTATTGTTTTAATGCTTTGCAAAATGCTTATTAGATATCGACTGGCTGAAAAACATGTAACACTATCAGTATTATTAAAATAACATTGTTCCGCACTAGACTTGGTTTATACTTAGGCATTTCTCATTTCAAATTAGTAATCATGTAAATGGTTTGACCAATGAATGACTGCATGATCTGATAAGTCAGTAACGTCGCAGTACTCTTTTGTTTGTCCGTCAGTTTAAGCCATGGTGCCTCAGGGTCGTTTAAAAAAAAACAACAACAACAACAACAATAAAAACAAACCGTCCTTTGTCATAGTTATATCTAAGACTCGTACCCAACGCTATTTATGTGTTTTGGGGGTGAGAGAAGATTGGGGGTTAAGTTAAGGCGCGCGCGGGGTCTCATGGGAAGGGGCGAAGAAAAAATAGCGGCGCTATTTTTCCTTCGTGCGAAGTGCTAAAGTGCTGGCCTCAGTTCTTCAAAACGTGGATAAAGCTATCCACTGGTTATAAATCTCTATCTAGTGGATAACGCAATCAGTTTCCCTAATAATTATTCACTGGATAGTGATTTATCCGGTGGATAGCGCAATCCATCGTTTGAACAACCGGAGCCTGGTCGGTGAGAGATAATTTTTTCTCGCAGCTTCGCGACTCGCTTTCGCGGGTTCCAATGGGAAAAAAACCTCTGGCACCCTGTGTGGTGAAAGACCAAATAACGTTTTGCAAAGGCTTTTCTGGGTTAATGGCTGGAAGAAGGCTTTCTAACACGTTAACTATTACCTCTTTAAACTATTATTTTTAATAAGTAATTTTCCACTTCACAGCCTTAATTTCCCGCCAATGCACATATGACTATACTTTGGCTGTCTTAGGGAAACTTCAAGGATTCAGCGTAGTCTAAGAAATAGACTCAACGGAAAGCTTCATTTTCCCATTTTTTTTCCCTTAACCAGGGCGGGGTTGTTGGAAGGTGGGTTAAGCGAACCCAGGGTTATTGCGAAATTTGAATTCAGGTATGAAAGCTTTAAAAGTAATTCAGTTTAATCCTTATTGCATGTGATTTTTTAATTGGATGCTCTAAAAAGAATAGACTGAGGAAATTGACCCGAAAAATACTTTTTTGACTTTCAAAAAAGTCCTTTGTCCTCTCGTGACTTTGTCGCTTGCTAAGAAACTCATGAAGTTGACTTGTAGCAATTCTAAATGCTTTTGAACAAAAGGAAAAGAAACGTGGATTGAAAATTAACCCCGGATTAGCACTAATCGGCCTTCGAAGAGCTGGGCCCAGAAAATTAGTAACGGTTGTTTTTATTGAAGAAGATTAAGAGTCCTTTTCCAATTGTCGTTGCTTGTCAGTACGTCCTCCATAACACGTGGAATTAGGCAATTAGTTTCACGTCCTAGTCGTACAGGGGCAGCCTAAGTTAAGATTTAGGAGAAAACGAATTTACACGAGTCTTCATCATTAAGTTTTAAAACAGAATTTAAAATCGGCAGTAGCCCTCGATTAGCTTAACCTTGTTTAGAACAAAGCGGCCTCGGTTTAGTAAACCCGATCAATTCACATTTCAACACAGNGCCCTCGATTAGCTTAACCTTGTTTAGAACAAAGCGGCCTCGGTTTAGTAAACCCGATCAATTCACATTTCAACACAGGCGACCCAAACTCACATACCATAAGTGACGCGCAGGCGGTGTGGGTCACGAGATTCGACTAATCAGAATGCGTTATTTGTAGAGTGATTTTCGCGCTTGGAAACGGAGCCGTTTTCAGAGATGTATATGATGAAATCTTCGCTTTATTCCAAGCTTGGGTAGGTAATTTCGACACTATATCGCCATGAAAAGTTGTTTGAACACTTTATTTTGATAGTAGCTACGTTACTTTAAATATTTTGCTTTCTTGAGAGTTTGAGACAAGTTTGAATTGCTCGGTCATGTGCAAGCCGCCACAGTGATTTAAGTGTTATTTTCGCCGTTCCTCTTGGATTCATTGCTGGTTACTGTTTGCGGTTTTATCGGATTATTTTGGTCATCTCGTTAGATCAATCTGTCTTCTTTGTAAATTTTGGGGTCTACACGGGTCTACCCCTGATAGTTTTCCCGTTATGAGGCGTTGAAGGGTCTTGGATTGAAGAGATCGTCTCACCCAAGTAGCACAACTCCCGGAAAACGGGCCGAGAAAACATGCCGAAACGGAAGCCGACGTGAAGCGAATAACGCCAAATCCAGCGTTTGTTCCATTTTAAACCAGAATAGGTAAATAAGTTTTAATATTGTAATAACCTTTGGAAACAAAACAATTTTCATAACGCAGTGCGGAAACTGAAAGCGTGTCTTCTTGGGTAGCAGTTTACTTAGCGCAGCAGAAACACAGGGGGATTTATTTGCCTGTGATTTAACCCTAATAATTTTTTTTCTTTTGCAAACCAGAGTAAATCATTGTTGTCACATTTTCTGTTGTGTCCTTGGGTAATAGTTTACTTTGCGCTGCAGAAACACTGGGGCATTCATTTGCCTGTGATTTAACCCTGATGATATTTTGCTTTTGTAAACCAGAATAGTTCATTAATTTTGTAAAATATTCTGTTGTGTCCATGGGTAAAAGTTTACCTCGCGCAGCAGAAACACTGCAGGGGCATTCGTTTGCCTGTGGGTAACCCTGATAATTTTTTTCTATTGCAAACCAGAATAGAATTTTTGTAACATTTTCTGTTGCGTAGACAACGATCCAAAAGCAAACTTGAGCTTTTCTAGTATACACCTTGACACGGATTTTGCCTGTATTTTGCGTTTTAAGCGTTGGCAACTGTTTCAAAATGCGTATTCAACTAGTAAGTAGGTAGACTGTCTCGGAGAATTGGACTTGGACACGACGAATAGCAGACTTTCCAAAAGAGCCGATTTGTAGACATTTCTCCCGACTTTGTCGCACGCTCGGCCGCTTCTAAGCCCAAAAAGTTCGCTCCGCTAACTAAGAACAGGGGTACCCAACGACTATTTTTGGATCAAAAATATCTGTTCGGAAGACGATTTGAGATCTAGAATTTTCGGAACATTTGTTGTTGTAAAATTTCTTGCTTGTCTGCCTCTCCTAGGATTTTCGAACATCTAAGAAATGGTATAATTGCCCATTTTTAACGGATTTTTACCCTAAAAAGGTCACCTAGAGTTTTCGGGAGCCTTTTTTCTAGCTGAAATTTTCGAAAAGGTAAGTTTTGATCCCTGTAATTTTCGCATCACTAGACTTTCAGCTAGGAAATCCGAACAGACAAAAAATTTTTAGGGGATAAAAATATGCCTATATCTACCGTTTTAAAAATACTAAGATACGTTCAACAATGCTATGTTTAAGTGGCTTTGAACTATATTCTCGTTGGGTGCCCCTATAAGAAACTTGAGAGGCCGACTTGTAGCAAGTCTAGATGAAAAGTGGTCGTTTCTTTTCCTTGCATCATCCTATATCCACGCATCAGTTCGTGTATGTGATGTATACTTTCCTGGTCTCACATTCGAGAATCTGACAGTCGAACTTGAAATCATTTACAAAAATTAATAGTGACAAGTGCGCGTTTTATTTTGGTTCTTCTTGTTAACACTTGAATGTATAACGTGCAAATGCGTAAACATTTCAAGTCATTCTAATGCTTTTCGTATGAAATATTTTCAGTGAAATATTTTTTTCGTTAAATGTGGTGGTATACTACTTTTGTTTAGCTTACATTTCAACCAGATTTGTGCCAGTAAAGCCGGATTGCGTCGTCTTCATTGTATCTAAATTGCCCGGCGGTTTTTATCTTTATAGTGCAGCTTGGGTAGCTGTTATCTACCTTTAATTCAGGTTTTTTCAATCTAGGACAGCCTTGTGGTAGCGTGTTAAAAGGAAAACAAACTATTTTTGGGCGGTTAATGATCTTGTAGGCAGGTGAAGTATTTGTGCATTTTAACGGAGGGGATATTACGTAACGATTGAAGATCTCAGCGTTTTCGTTTTTAAAGTTGTATTCACGCGACAAACTTGATTATAATTTCCCTGCAAAGTGTTTCAGTTATATGAAAGAAAAAAGTGAACTTTTGTGCAGCAAAAATATGCATCCGTTTTACTTCGCGGTTGGAATACTCTCGCCATTGGGAATAAATGGCTCTTGAGGGAGTTGGGGTTTTTGCCGACTTTTGACACCTTTCTCTGACTTAATTGATCTGCTCTGGTCTTACAGTGGTTTGTGTTACCAAATACACCCCGCTGATTTGGGAAGAAATTCTTTCCAAACCAGCGGGGTACTGCATTCCTGAGTGGTGCTAAGCTTATCATTCCAAAAAACACGTCCAAAGGGTTGAAACCCTAAAGTAGCACGTGACCTTATCTTAATGAGATAAAGATAAAAGACTATGACATCATTGGGGCTAAGTACCTCACATCAAATTCATGGGGTCCCCCTGTTCTGTCGCA